ATGCTGCCACATCCTTTCTTCTCCCCACCTCTTTCCTCCTTTTCGGTTACCATTTTGCTCCTGACGGTGCTAACAGATGAATATCGGACAAAAATGCAATCGGCAAATTTCTCCTGGATGGAGAAAACACCACTAGTTGGTTTATCTGCCTGCCACATTTACTTTTGGGGAATGTGTTGCCTTTGATCGATGCATAGAAGTTGTGTTTTACTGCTGCTGCTGCTATATTCCATTTTATTATGATTTATATATTATCTATATGTTTTTAATATACACTGCCCTAATAGCTTTGCCCAGACAGCAACTGATATATTGAAGAAATAAACAAAACATGCCGAGATTCGGGTGTGGGGGAAAGATCCTTCTCACCTTATGCAAGCCAGCGACTTTAGGCACATAGGAGACAGAATACGTCCGATTCTTGTCATTATTAGCAACCACTTTGGCCTGGATGATAGGAGAAAACAGAAGTGGTTCGTATGGGTAAGACAAAAGACTAATGAAACACTGTATAGAGATCTTGTAGCACCTTTGAGACTAACAGAAAGAAATTGGCAGCATGAGTTTTCCTAGACTTCAGTCTATTTCCTCAAATGCATCTGAGGAAGTAGACTTAAGTCTACGAAAGCTCCTGCTGCCAACTTCTTTCTTTCAGTTAGTCTCAAAGGGGCTACAAGATCTCTATCAACACACTGATTCTAGAGATTAACATGGCTATATCTTTAAAATATTGCATAATAATCATTGCCAGTACCTCTTCTGTGTGTCCTTCTGGATCTTCAATATATACCAGCACTTCTCCCAATCCTGCCTCAATGGTTTCCACTGTAAAATGGGCTGGTTTCAGCACTGTGTTCCCATGTGGCTCAATGCCTGTGAAGAAAGGCCACCATATTAGCCACAAATGGAGTAGATGTGGAGCATTCCCTCACCTATTACCATAGAAATATAGAACTGAAAGTCTGGAAAAGTTACTTTTTCGACTCCCACACTGGCCATGCTGGATGAGGAACGCTGGGCACCATAGTTCAAAAAGTAGTATCTCCAAATTCTGAGAAAACATCTCCCTTATTCTGAACCCCTGAACAGATGGGAAAGGATTCAGGCAGAGGTGGGAGTCATGGAGCCCTCCAGATGTTGTTGGAGTGCAGCTCTGAGCAGCCCTAGCCGATATAGCCAGTTTTGAAGAATGCTGGGAACTGCAGTCAAAAGAGTACAACAGATGGAGAAGCGGAAGACCAACACGATGGCCCGGCCAACCTTCTTGCCTATGAAAAATCTGATGTGAGCGATTATATTTGGCAGGTGGAAGTTTTGCACAGCACCGAGTTGTCAATGTCAACGCATCACAATACAATAAGATCCAAAATCCACAAAACAGTGGTAATCCAAGCAATAAAGGTATCACCCTTATGTGGATTTTGGGTCTTATTGCATTTTGCTATATGGCCAACTGGCTACCCCAGATATGTTTTCAGCACATCACAATGTTGGGGTCACTGGTGCAAATGCACTGGTCACTTCAAAAGCCGGTCACCAGACTCCCCTGTGAGCTCTTGGGGCAAGAAAGGCATACCACTTACAAAGATAATAATAATAATAATAATAATACCTTTTATTTATAGCCCGCCTCTCCCTACAGATTGAGGTGGGTTACAACAAGTAAGAGTAACAATAAAATACAATATACAATTAAAAACCACATTTCTAAATAATCCCTTACCCCAACCCCCCTCCCAATCATAAAAAGGAAGCAAACTAAAAACAATAATATAAAAAGAATAGCAATATAAAATACTAAATTAAAAGTGGAAGACAAAGCTATTTATGAAACCTATTCACAGGTAGCCATGCTGGCTGTATAGCAAAGAACAACAACATCCAGAATCCACAAAGCAATGATACCTTTAATCGGCCAACCCAAATGTACAAATTACATGATGCAAGCTGTTAAGAGGAACAAATATATATATAATGATGATATAAGTCACAGGCTTGCAATCTCTCAGGTGGGGAGAACAGGTCCTGTTGAATTTTGATCTGCCATGCATCCGTTAAAGATTGTGGACGGGTGCCAGAACAGCCGGCAAAAAAACCCCGATGACTGAGAAAGGAAGGCATCTCTTGCAAAGTTCATTGCCAAGTATGGCCAAGGAAGAGTTACCGAAGTCAAAGCAGAGGGATGGCTTGACAAACCCTCTGTCATCTGCCAAGTAAAAATCAGCAAAAGCCAATTTCTATTAAGAGCCACAGCATATCCCTTTTTGCATTGCTACTGTCGTAGTGAGGGTTTGGGTTGCCAGCTTGGTCTCACTTTGGTTGCAGGCGCTGTTCTTCTGACCACTGTTTTGCAGTTATTTATTAAGTTTCTCCGCAAAGATTCTTGGTCTCACTGTAAGCTTAGCCTGGAAACATTACTGGACTACAACACCCAGAATCCTGTGCTGGTGAAGAGACTCTAGGATTTGTGGTCCCAATAAAGCTGCTTTTAAATAATTAAGAAGATAGGACCTAGTGTGTATCCACACTGCAGAATTATAGCAGTCTGATACCACTTTAACTGTCATGGCCCTTTCCTAAGGAATCCTGGATGGAAGTAGTTAGAAGTCTTGCAATGGTTCTCAACTTTTTGCCCTCCAGATGTTCTGGACTTCAACTCCCAGAAGTCCCAGCAAGGAAGAACAATCTTCAGGGATTCTGGGAGCTGAAGTCCAGAACATCTGCAAGGCGAAAGGCTGAGAACCCTTGCCTTTGAGACTTCTAAGTACTTCCACCCAGGTTTCCATTGGAAAGGAGCCATGACAATTAAAGTGGAATCAAAAGGCTATAACTGTGCAGTGTGTATACACCCCAGGGACTGGATCCCAATTTTTCTAGCCAGTTGACAATCCTAATGAGAATGAAGTGAAGGGCAACAATCCTCCTAACTCCTAGCCATCCTGGATTCCTTCTCCTTGTTGTCAATTGCCATCATGGCAGCTTTGACTTATGGCAACCTTGGCTTTGCCCCACTGGCACCATCTCTTCCACTGAGCTGCGGGGTTTTAAAGGGACGCAGGCAAACCCCACAGCCCATTTCTGCCAAAAGGTAGATATTTGGGGAGCAATGATGTCACCCCCACCATTTAGGGTGTCACCTGGTGTGATCCGTACCCCTCGCAGCAGCCCCTACTGACACCCCTAGTCTGGTTTTCCTCTTTTCCTCCTGCCTCCCACTTTACCAAGCATTATCATCTATTTTCTGAGTCATGCCATCTCATGATATGGCCATAGTATAACAACCTCAGATTGGTCATTTTGACTGCTAGGGAAAGTTGAGGCTCAATCTGCTCTCGGAGCCATTTATTTGACTTTTCGGTAGTCCAGGGCATCCGCAGAACTCTCCTCCAACGAGAGTTGAATGTCTCCAACATTTCCAAAGAGCTTATTCTCTCTCTACCAGCCTTCACCCAT